CTTAGAAGCTAACATAACCTAAAGGAGCTAGATAAAGAATAAATAAAACCCAAAACCAGCAGAAGGAAGGAAATAATAAAGATTAGAGCAGAAATAAATGGTATAGAAACTAAAAACAAAAAACAGTAGAACAGATCAATGAAACCAGGAGCTGGTTCTTTGAAAATATCAATAAAATTGATAAACCTTTAGCCAGATTTATCAAGAAAAAAAAAGAAAGGACCAAATAAGTAAAAACACAAATGAGAGAGGAAAACTAACAAGCAACACCACAGAAATGCAAGAGAATATTATGAAAAAATATATGCCAACAAATTGCACACCCTAAAAGAAATGGATAAATTCCTAGAAACATAACCTACCAAAACTGATGCAGGAAGAAAATTTGAACAGACCAATTACAGCAATGAAACTGAATCAATAATCAAAAAGCTTCCAACAAACAAAAGTCCAGGACCAGAGGGCTTCACAGGCAAATTCTACCAAACACTTAAAAAAGATTTAATACCTATTCTTCTCAAACTATTAAAAAAAAAAAAAGGAAAACTTCCAAATTCATTCCATGAGGCCAGCATCATTAATACCAAAACCAGATAAAGACAGCGCGAAGAAAGGGAACTACAGACCAATATCTCTGGTGAACACAGATGCAAAAATCTTCAACAAAATACTAGCAAACCGAATCCAACAATACATTAAAAAAATCATTCACCATAATGAAGGGGGATTTATTCCTGGGTTGCAAGGGTGGTTCAATATTTGCAAATGATACCTGACACACCACATCAATAAGAGAAAGCATAAGAACAATAACCATGTCAATATACGCAGAAAAAACACTTGACAAAGTACAATACCCATTCATGATAAAAACCCTCAACAAAGTAGTGTTAGAACATACCTCAACATAATAAAGGCCAAATATGGAAAACCCACAGCTAACATCATCCTCAATGAGGAAAAACTGAGAGCCTTTCCCCTAAAGTCTGGAATAAGACAAGGATGTCCACTGTCACCACTTTTATTCAACATAGTAATTGAAGTCCTAGCCACAACAATCAGACAAGAAGAAATAAAAGTCATCCTGGGGCGCCTGGGTGGTTCTGTCATTGAGCATCTGCCTTCGGCTCAGGTCATGATCCTGGGGTCGGGCCCCACATCAGGCTCCCTGCTCGACGGGAAGCCTGCTTCTCCCTCTCCCACTCCCCCTACTTGTGTTCCCTCTCTCACTGTATCTCTGTTAAATAAATAGAATCTTAAAAAGAAAAGAAATAAAAGGCATCCAAATCAGTAAGGAAGAAGTACAACTTTCGGTATTTGCAGATGACAGGATACAATACATAGAAAACCCAACACACTCCATCAAAAAACTGCTAGAACTGATAAATGAATTCAGTAAAGTGTCAGGATACAAAATACACCTACAAAAATATGTTGCATTTCTACCCACCAATAATGAAGCACCAAAAAGAGAAAATAAGAAAACAATCTCATTTACAATTGCACCAAAAATAATAAGATTCCTAGGAATAAACCTAACCAAAGAGGTGAAAGACCTAAACTCTGAAAACTACAAAACACTGGTGAAAGAAATTGAAAACAAGAAGAGAAATGGAAAGAAATTCCATGCTCATGGATTGGAAGAACAAATATTTTTAAAATGTCTATACTACCCAAAGTATGCAATCCCTATCAAAATACCAACAGCATTTTTCACAGAAGTAGAACAAACAATCCTAAAATTTGTAAGGAACCACAAAGAACCCTGAATAGCCAAAGCAATCTTGATAAAGAAAAACAAAGCTGGAGGCATTACAATTCCTGACTTCACATTATATTACAAAGCTGTAGTAATCAAAACAGTATGGTACTGGCACAAAAATAGACATACAGATCAATGGAATAGAAAACCCAGAAATGAACCCACAACTAAATGGTAAATGAATCTTTGACAAAGCAGGAAAGAATATCCAATGGGAAAAAGAGTCTCTTCAACAAACAGTATTGGGAAAACTGAACAGCAACATGAAACTGGACCACTTTCTTGCATCATACACAAAAATAAATTCAAAATGGATTAAAGACCTAAATGTGAGACCTAAAACCATAAAAATCATAGAAAAGAACACAGCCCATAATTCCTCAAACATTGGCCAAAGCAACTTTTTTCTAGATAGGTATCCTGAGGCAAGGGAAACAAAAGCAAAAATAAACTATCGGGATTACGTCAAAATAAAAAGCTTCTACACAGTGAAGGAGACAGTTAACAAAACCAAAGGGCAGCCTATGGAATGGGAGAAGATAACTACAAATGACATATCCAATAAAGGGTTAATATCCAAACCATATAAAGAACTTATAAAACTCAAGATGTAAAAAAAAAATAATCTAATTAAAAAGTGAGCAGAAGAACATGAACAGACATTTCTCCAAAGACATACAGATGGCCAACAGACACATGAAAGGATGTTCAACACCACATCAGGGAAATACAAATCAAAACTACAACGAGATCTCACCTCACACCTGACAGAATGGCTAAAATCTACAACATAAAAAATAATAGGTGTTGGTGAGGATGTGGAGAAAAAGGAACCCTTGTGCACTGTCGGTGGGAATGCAAACTGGTGCAGCCACTGTGGAAAACAGTACGGAGTTTCCTCGAAAAATTAAAAATAGAACCATCCTACTATCTGATCTCACAATCACACTACTGGATATTTACCCAAAGAATACAAAAACACTAATTCAAAGGGATACATGGACCTCTATGTTTATCATTATTTACAATAGCTAAGATACGAAAGCAGCCCAAGTGTCCATTAATTGTGAATGGATAAAGAAGTGGTGTGTGTGTGTGTGTGTGTGTGTGTGTGTATGAAATACTATTCAGCCACAAAAAAGAATGAAATCTTCCCATTTGCAAGGACATGGATAGTGCTAGAGAGTATAATGCTAAGTGAAATAAGTCATAGACAAATACCATATGATTTCACTCATATGTGGAGTTTAAGAAACAAAATAAACGAGCAAAGGGGGAAAACAAAGACAAACCAAGAAACAGACTATTAACTATAGAGAACTGATGGTTACCAGAGAATAGGTGGATTGAGGGGAGAAGGGGAGGATGGGTGAAACAGGTGATGGGAATTAAGGAGTGCACTTGAGATAAGCACCCTCAGGTGATTAAAATAAAAACATTCTCAAAGAATTTAATTATGTGATAAGATACGGTATCACTTAAATGAAAATATGTATATATTTGTGTATATAAATCTACAGTAAAACCAACATACCCAGCACTCAATATAAAATGTACTATTTGTGGAGGCCTGGGTGGCTCAGTCCGCTAAGCGACCAACTCTTGGTTTCCCTCAGGTCTTGATCTCACGGTCGTCGATCCAACCTGGCCTCCTGCTCCAAGCAAAGAAGAGAGTGGGCTTGAGATTCTCTTCCTCTCCCTCTGCCTGTCCCCCTCCCATTTAGGCTTTGCATGCGCTCTCTCTCAAATACATAAATCTTTTAAAATAAACAAATAAATAAAATGTACTATTTTCTATATTAATAAAAAACTGGGAGTGCAAGGAAGATATTTTCTAAGAGAAACAGTAGGTTCCAGGTTACTTGATGGGTCTTTGTTAGGCGTTCGCCAAGAAAGAAAAAAGATCAAATTTGAAAAAATAAAGCATTTCGGAGACAAAGAGAAAATACTAAGTCACCTTAAACATTACTTTTAATTGTCACAACAATTATTTCCTCCTCCAACGGAGACCTTTTTTGGAGAAGTATAGAGACGGGGAAGGAGACAACAGGCCATTCTTTGGGCCCCGATGAGAAAGTCAACTGGCTCCACCTGCCACACACGACCCTCGCCATCAGAGACCAGAGCTTCCAAATCAATCTTCAGGGTCAGAGAGAAGAGTCAAGGCTTTTACCGTCAAGGGGCAGAGCTGTCTTGTCTTGTGCTCCCATATATGATTGCGTGTGACACAGTCAACAACACAATCTCCCCAAATCCACACAGTGCTGCACAGTCTCACACCCACTACTAGACACAAAGTCACACCCTCCCTACCCTTCCCACACAGTGCTCCACAGTCACAATACCCACGGCGGCTCAGTCACAAAGCTCCCTATACTAGCATACAAAGTGGAATACCAGGTCACAGTCACAACCGCATACCCACTACAGGGACACAGTCACAGGTAACCCCCCCCCCAGTGTTACACACGGTCACACATGAACAATCATACCATGGGGACTCACAGTGCTATAAGCTAATCCACACCCGCACACACGGTATCACACACGTTCACAATCACACATACATCACTTGACAGTCACAAAATTTCACCACCGCCCCTCCTCAGCCCCTTCTACCCGAACAGACTTAATATTCAGTTTCCGTCCCGACCCCGGGACTTTTTTCAACCTCGGGGGTCCTCTGAAACGTGTCAGTAGGCGGAGCGCGCTGCTGAGAGACCACCACTCGCGGCTAAATAGGGCTCAGCTCAAAGCCGCCCGCCTCGCTGTGGGGAGGAGCGGCGGACACGATGCCTGCTGGGAAATGTAGTTAAGCTCCGTGGTAGCGATGGAAAAGATGGCGCCCGGCTTGAGCCCTGTCCTCCCCCCGCCCACCCTGAGGCACGAACTGTGCCCCGAAATGTTTCGGCGCTCCAGGGGTAGGTAGCCTTACACCTTGGCCCCTACTTGGAGTAAGCCCGGCATGCTTGAACTGAGTTTATTATAACCCAAGGCACACCACTGCCCTCTCCGAAAGGCAGAGTTAACACAGGAAAGATTATTAAACTGAGACTCGGACTACTTACACTCCTCCCCCAACCAGGGAGACAGTCCCACAAACTCTGGCGCAGGAAAGAAAGCGCGAAAAGCGGACTTCAACCCCCTGAAACTTATGGGAAATGTAGTCCGCAGTCAGAAAAGTGGAGGACCGGCCAATACCGACAGATTCTGTCCGGTACTGAGCCCGGCTTGGCGGAGCCCAGGAGACCTCTGGGAGTGCTAGCCAGCCCAAGGAGTGCGCAGGCGCAGACTTTCTGGCTCGCCATAGTCGTCTTTGTCTGCGGGTGAGTGTGGTTTCGGCCTCGCAAGGCGCAGATCTGGGCGTGGGACCTGGGGTTCTGGGCTCAGAATCCGGTCAGGGAAGCTGTAGGGGAGGATTCTTAGAGCCTGCGACAGGGCTGGGGAGGCTGACGGGGACGAATCGCTTTCTGTGACGTGCAGTGTTCAAAGCCTGTGCGGATGGGGGCAGGGGTACAAGGAGGAAACTGGGGCGAGTTCGCAGGTGGGTGACGGAGGGTGTGAAAGGGTTGTAGAGATACAACTTGCGTGAGAATTGCGTGGTTCCAAGTTTGTGAGGATGGATGGCATGGTGAGCTTTATGGGGTAGTAACCTCAATCTCAACGTTTCTAAAATAATAATAAAGATGCATCTTTCTGGAGTATCCGTTTTTCTGAAAGAAAGGAAAATGGCTAAGACGAGAGATAAGTAATTTTTAAAGCGATTTTTATATAAAGGCAGACTGATTGTGGATTTTATTTCCGAAAAACTTGTTATTGGATTACTAGACTCCCCCTGTGTATTGACTTTTCGTAATTCTTTGGAGGAACTTTGGTGAGCACCTTTGAGAAGCCCTTGAGTAAGGAGGAGCTTTAAGAGCTAGTTTCCACTAGTGTAGACAGCACAGAATTGTGGAGGATATTGTCCTGTCTTTGGTGCAGAGATAGCAAGTAACTGATCTAAGACTCCCTTGTTTCTAAACGACGTGGCAGTGACTCGTAATTTGACCAGGTTTTCCCCAGACCAAATGGCGTTTGTAAATGTAGTGAAACAAATTGTCTTCTATCTAAAACGACACTTTCTTCCAGTATTCTATCACACTTAACATAATTTTCAATAAAATGAAAAGGTACCACGGTACAAAAAATTCATATACACAAATAATAGCTTTGGTATATACAAAAAGTAATCAGTAACAGTTATGACTACTTTATTTACAACAGCGACAAATCAGACAAAACACCTTGGGGTAAACAAGAAATGTATAAAATCTATATAACACTAAATTCTTCAGTTAACAAGATGCAAAAGAAGACTTGAACAAATGGAAATATATGTCATATCTTAGATTTAAAAAGTCTGCAAGGTATTTTGTGAAGAAAGCTAAGTGCCTGTTTGGTAATACCTAATATACCACTTTTTTAGTAAGTGGGAATAAGAATGTATATTTGTAGGTGCATAAAGAAACTTTTGAAGTTTACACAGAAAATAAAAAAGGTTGATGAGGAGGGAGATGTAACAGCTAGGGCAGGGGTAAGAATCACATTTTTGCTTCCCTGGTTGTAGATTTCCATTTTTAACTGGGATGGGGAAATTAATGTCTTTGTTCACTCCATTACTTTTTAGATGTTTAGCACTGCCTCACTCTTGAATGTTTCCTTGACTTCCATTATACTACTTTCATTTGTATAATTCTAGTCAAAACCAAGAAATAATCCTCCCCCACCAAAAAGCTCCATTAGTGACTTATGTTTCTGTTTTCCCCTTAACTATTAGTGTTCCTAAGTTTCTTACTTTGATTATATATAATATGTATTTATATATAAATACATATCTCTAAGAACAAAATTCCATTGCTGTGGCTTCACCTGACAGGTGACTAACAAATGTCCATTCCTATTTGAGCCATGTCCTGAACTACTGATTCACATATCCAAATGCATAATGGACTGCCCCACCTTGAGGTTGCACAGGAACTTCAAACTCTAAATTTATGCCCACAATGTTAGTACTGTTATCTTGTTTCCTGTGGTTTGCCTCCATCCATTTCCCCTTTGATTACCTGTTTTGTCAGTTCATAACACTGTCCATCCAGATTTGAAGCCTCTTATATCTGAGTAAGGGAAGAGCTTCTCAGTAAGTTTGACTCTTACCTGTCACACCACATTACAAATTGGAGGCCTAGATTTCTTAATTACACATAATAAATGATAAATATGTTTGCTGAATCAGTGAATGACCATATAATTATATGGCATTTAAAATATTTCATTTCTCCTAGAGTAACATAACCTAGGTAAAATATTAGGCTGCTAAAAATGTTTAGGAATGCTGACCATGACGAATACATGAATAACATCCTTTACATTTTATCCATATCATTTAAGGTTGGTGACTTCAGATTTAGGAGAAAAGTGTTTTTATACGGGAAAATGACATTCAGAACTGTGACTCTTCAATCAGGAGCAAGGCCACATGTACCTGTTAAGGTTGTGATTCTGTAGAACTCTAACAACTCAGTCTTGTAATTTTTCTGTATCACCTAAATCCTGAAAATGACGTTACCCATTTCTGAAATGTGTGGAGCCTTTTTTTTTTTAAGACTTATTTATTTGAGAGAGAGTGTGTGTGCACACACAAGCGGGGGGGAAGGGCAGAGGGAGAAGGAGAAGCAGGCTCCCCGAAGAGCAGGGAGCCCTGTGTGGGACTCAATCCCAGGACCCTCAGATCATGACCTGAGCCGAAGGCAGACTCTTGACCAACTGAGCCACCCAGGTGCCCCTGTGTAGAGCCTTTAAATGGCATAATGGGTTTGGCTTGGGATGCAGAGTATAAATCCATGTGCTCACGTGTATGCATGTGTACCAGCTTCTAAGCCAAAGGGTCATCATTACTTTGTTTTTTTCACAGGCCAGGTTCCTTGTACATCCACAGGACCTGCACTTGCCTTGTCCTTCAAAACCTTGCAAGAGTCCTATAGCCTCAACCTGAATTATGGGATGCTGCTTTGACCCTCAACAGTAACGTCCAAGTCCTGTGTCACTGTTTAGAAGTTTAAGGCACCAGTTTAACAAGAAGATCAGTGGATGACTGAGAGAGAAATGTAAAGGAGGTGCTATCTAGGTGAGTAAGAAAGAACCCAGCAGGTATTAATGGGATAAAGGCTCATTACAGTTACTCAACCCGCAACCTCTGAAAATTTTTTGAGGCAGTTGTCTTATCAGCCCTTGTCTTTTGGAGTAACAATTGCTGGAAATTCTTTAGATACCCAAATAACATTTCCAGATAATCTTGCTTGATCAGTGCTTTTTTTTCCTCAGATTTTGGGGGACTGGTTGCCCCTCTAACCTCTCTTCTGGATGTCACCCTCTTCATTTGTAGTCTCAATTTGATAAATTTTATGATGTACATGTGTTCTCCCTTTCACTTACATTCTCCATTTTTTATTTCCCCCTAGATGTCTAGACTTCTTCCCTTAAGCATTCATTCATCTTGCCAAGGATTACAAGATCTCTAGTCTTTCAAATCTTAGCATATAGATTCTTTTCTTTAAAATTGAACTTTCTGGGGATGCCTGGGTGGCTTAGGCGATTAATCATCCGACTCTTGATTTCGGCTCAGGTCATGATCTCAGGGTCATGGGATAGGGCCAGCATCAGACTCCACGCTGGGCATGGAGCTTGCTTGGGAGGGATTCTCTCTCCCTCCCCCTCTCCGATTCCCTGCTTGCACTCTCTCTCTCAAAAAAAATTTTTCTAATAAAATTTAACTTTCTATCATTTCTCCCCACTTCCATTGTTATATATCTGAGTTGAATTTTATTTTCCCCCTTATCCTTATTTCTTATTCTCTTCCTACCTCCAACTATCATAGCACAACATTTCTCCCCCTCTTGCTTTTTAACAATATAGCATGCTTGGAAATTTGTCCTGACTTCCTACGAGTTCACCTCTCTGTTACTTTTAAAAAGAAATAATACTATTCTCTTTAAAATCCAATACATGCACTTAATAGAAAAGTAAAATAATGGGTATGTCTTCTCAATCCTGGCCCTCACTTCTCCATTTCTGTTCCCCAGAAGCAGCCACTGTTAACTGTGCATTCTTCTAAATATTTTTATGAGTTTACAAGGAGGCTTTCAAGCAGAACAATGACATGATTTAACTGTGACAAGAATAAACGCCTGTTGCTGTGTTGAGAGGAGTTATAAAGAGGCAAAGGCGAAGGTAGGAAGAAGAGTGAGGAGCCTATTAAATATCTAGTCAAGACAAGATGTGGCTTACACTTTGGTTGTCCTCGTGAGGATTATGAGAAATGGCCAGATGCTAACCATATTTTGAAGACAAAGCCAACAGGACATGGAGATGTAATAGGTGTGTGATCTGGGAGACAGTTGTTCAATGCTTGAGCAACTGGGAAAATGAGGTTGCAATTTAACGAGATGAGAAGAATTTGGGGGGAGTTGATTTGGGAGAACGAGAGTTTTGTCTGGGGCAGGATAAATTATTAGACATCCAAGTGCAGATTTTGAGTAGCAAGTGGCTATGTGAATCACTTGGGGAAAGAGGTCCAGGCTAGTGATTAAATATTTTCCAAAAATATTGCATCATAATGCACAAATGTCAAGCAAATTCTTAACTGTATTCTGTGGAAATGGTGACCTGTTAGAGCAGGGGTTGGCAAACTACAGCCTAGTACGTGTTTTTCTGAAGAGTTTTACTGAAACATGGCCACCTACAGTGCATCTTGTCCATTCATTTTCTTATTATCTGTGGCTGCTTTCATGCTACAAATGCCTGAGTTGAGCAGGCATCTGCAGATACATGATGTTATAAAGCATGAGACACGACTAAAAAGTATATCAGTCATGGTAAAGCTAAGTGACTATAATAAACCCAAAATGTACTGCTTTAAGGAATATAAGAATTGATTTCCTGGTCCTATAACAGTTAATGTGGGGAGTAGTGAAGAGCTGCATGGTTGCTTTGGTCTTTGTGGTCCTTTAAGGATCCAGATTTCTTCCAGGTTGTCTCTTTCATCATTCAGTTGTGGTTGAACCTGGATCAGCAGTGCATTTCTGGTTCCAGCCAGGTGGAGGAGGGAGAAATCACCACGGTAGGACAAGAAGTCAATAAACTTTTTCTGTAAAGGTCCAGATAGTAAATACATAAGGCTTTGTAGACCATACAACTACTCAAGTCAGACATTATAGCACAAAAGTAGTTTGCTTAGCATTAGACTATCTTGATTTCTATTTTGAAAATATTTTTTAAACCACAAGTTAAATGCTATTGAAAGAACCACTTTACCTGATTTTCAGATGACATTGCCTAGTTCAGTTCAGAATTTTACAGTAGGAGGGCCACCTGGGTGGGTCGGTCAGTTAAGTGTCTGACTCTTGATGTTGGCTCAGGTCTTGATCTCGTGGTGGTAAGTTTGAGCATCGGGCTCCACACTCAGTGAAGAGTCTGCTTGAGATTCTCTCTCTCCCTTTCCCCCCCAGCTCGCTCTCTGTCTTGCTCTCTAAAATAAATAAATCTTTAAAAAAAATTTACAGTATGAAAAATTCAATTCTGATAAATATGTATGAAGTATGTTGATGTCATCCCTATAAAAATACAAGGATTTTTAATTACCAACGAGATGTCATTTCTGTGTTTTCCTTTTTTTAAGATTTTATTTATGTGAGAGAGATAGAGCGTATGAGTGAGGGGAGGAAAAGAAGGGAAGGGAGAGGAACAAGCAGACTGCACTTGAGCACAGAGCCCCATGCAGGGCTCAATCCCAGGACCCTGAGATCATGACCTGAGCTGAAACCAAGAGTCAGACCCACATCTGACTGAGCCACCCAGGTGTCCCTGTGTTTTCTTTTACTAGGACTATAGTGGGTTGAGCCTTGATCTGTTCTGCATCATTCTTTGGCAAATATAATGAATTGGAATTTTGAAGTAAATGCTATTACTGTAATTTGTAAAACTTTAGTAAAATCCACATGTTGAGCCATCTATGCCTTGGGCTTTGGGGTGATAAAATACTTTAACATTGTCTCTTTTTTTTCTATGTTTACTTTTCTGTTTAGGATTTCTGTCTTTTCTGGTCTCAGTTTTCATAGGTTATATTTGGTTTTCAAATTTATTTGCATGGGGTTGAGCAAATAATCTACAGTCCTTTTCTATCTATGGTTATTTCCAAATAATAACTTTTTTAAAAGTTTTGTAATTTTGCTTTTATTCCTCTTTAGTTTTTACCTAGGAATCAACTTACGAATTTATTGTTTTTCTGTTTGTAATAATTAATTTATCTTTACTAATTTTTCTGTTTTTCTTTTTATTATTTATTTTTTAGAGAGAGAGTGAGAGAGCATGTGGTGGGAGGGGCATAGAGAGAGGGAGAGAGAATCCCAAGCAGGCTCCTTGCTCAGTGCAGAGCCCAACGCAGGGCTCAATCTCATGACCTTGAGATCATGACCTGAGCTGAAATCAAGAGTCAGACACAACTGACTGAGCCACCCAATTTTTCTGTTTTTCTTATATTTACTTTTCCTTATTGTAATTCCTTAGTTTGAACACTTACTTTGTTGTTCTTTCTTTTTAAAATAATGTAAACATTTATGTTAAAACTTATACATTTTCTCAAATGTATTCTATGGGCTCTGATATATATTTTTTTTCTGAATTTTTCTGAATATTCTGCAATTTAATTTTCTCTTTGACCAAAGTGTTTGTTGAAGCCAGTACATTTTGAAATTTACAAGTGAAAATTTGTTTTTCTATTGTAATTTTTTTTACTCAAGTATTTTGTCTGTCCTTTTCCACATTGTGGAATATTTGAAGTTTTATAGGCATTATAAGGGCTGATTTTTTTTTTTTTAAAGATTTATTTATTTATTTGAGAGAGAGAGAATGAGAGAGAGAGAGCACATGAGAGGGGGGAGGGTCAGAGGGAGAAGCAGGCTCCCTTACTGAGCAGGGAGCCCGATGTGGGACTCGATCCCGGGACTCCGGGATCATGACCTGAGCCGAAGGCAGTCGCTTAACCAACTGAGCCACCCAGGCGCCCCTATAAGGGCTGATTTTAAGAATGTTCTGTGAGCCTTTAAAAAGGTAGTTTTAAAACTGATTAGCTCTGGGGCGCCTGGGTGGCTCAGTCATTAAATGTCTGCCTTCGGCTCAGGTCATGATCCCAGGGTCCTGGGATCGAGCCCCACATCGGGCTCCCTGCTTGGCAGGAAGCCTGCTTCTCCCTCTCCCACTGTCCCTGCTTGTGTTCCCTCTCTTGCTGTCTGTCAAATATATAAAAAAATCTTTAAAAAAAAACTGATTAGCTCTATGTTATAAATTAGTACATGTTTTTATTTAATGTTCCTATTTTTAGTGTATTCTATTTTATGGATTTGGTGCTTGAGGAAAGGTAGTCTTCTCAGTTACTAACGTCTTGGATTTCTGTGGTTTATGTATTCATGATTATCTTCTTTTATCTTTATTCTTTATTTTCAGCATTTCTGATGTCGTTTTAGATGTGTATCTTGTATGTATAGAATTTAGGTGCCTTTGTTCTATCAGTTGTTAAACGTTAGCATGTGTCAAAATCATCTGGAGGGCTTTTTAAATACAGATTACTGGGCCTTACTGGCAGATTTTCTGATTCAGGAGTTATGTGTTGGAGCCTGAGAATTTTCTGTATGAGTCTGTTTTAGTCTTTTTCTTTTAATAGTTCTTTTTATTTTAGTTGTATTTATTGAGAGGAACAATATGGTTAGTATTGGTTCTCATATTTAATATTATACATTGTTTTAAATTTGACCTCATCTTTTTTATCCTTTACTGTAGGATTTTTGATTTCCTTGTCTTGGGTATATATGTCTTTCCTTCGAAAAATTTGGAAAGCTTATTATATTATTTTATTCTCTTGGTTGCCTTTATATTCTTAACTTTTAGTCTTCATCCTTCATTGCTTTAGTCCCCACTAAGTAGTGATGTGTATTTTATACATTAGAATGTTTTCAGTCTCCCTCCTCTCTTTACCACACAGTTGGTGATTGCGATTATTATTCCAGTTTTAAATAGGATCATCTGCATCCTTTGTACCTCCCCCTTCATATATATGAAATTATTTGCGTCTTTGCCTTTGATTGTGCAGTAATCCATCTATCAAAGTCCATTGTTTACCCTTGAGCTTCATTTTTATTAAAATGTATCTTCGTTATCACTTTTAGCTCAGTCTCTCTAATCTCTCTCATCCCATACCATATTATGTCTTCCAGAGCAACACAGATCCTAAGTATATAGTCTCTTATATTTTTATTTTTCACTTTCATGTTTAAGACCTACATTGGAGCTCACTGAAAGGCCAGTATTTTACCCTTTGGATCTGCAGTGTTGAACACAAGCAAGATGATTATTAAATAATTAGTGATTATTGTAGAGCTTCAAGTGTGGATTTACATTTTCAGCTTTATTGAGGAATAATTTACATAAAATAAAAGTCACTCCCCCTTTCAGTATATTATTTGATAAATTTGGTAATTGTATATAGGCATAAAACGTACACCAAAACAAACATACAGAACAGATTCATTGTGCCCTTTTGCAGTTGAACCACGCCCCTCCCCCATCCCTGGTGATCACTAATTGACTTTATGTACTATAGCTTGCTGTTCCTAGAATTTCATATAAATATAGTCATGTACTGCATAATCTTTAGCATTTAATTTCTTTGACTTAGTTTTACATTTTTGAAATTAATTCATGTGGTATAGATTAGTATTTCATTCCTTTTTATTGCTGACTATTACTATAAGTATGGACATAATTTGTTCACTAGTTGATAGACATTTAGATTATTTCCATTTTGGGCCATTATGAATAATGCTATTATGAACATTCATATACTAAGTCTTTGTGTGAACATACATATTCATTTTTCTTAAATAAATGACTAGGAGTGGGACTGCTGCCTAGAATATTAAGTGTATATTTAACTACAAAATACTCTCAGATTATATTCCAAAGTAGTAGAACCATTTTTCATCCCCAGCTACTACTCCCATCATTGAGAGTTATAGTTGCTTCACATTCTCACATTTGGATTGGCTGTTGTTTTACCTTTAGCCATTTAGTGGATGTGTAATGTATCTCAGTGGGGGGTTGTTTTTTGTTTTTGTTTTAAGATTTTATTTATTTAAGAGAGAGAGAATGAACAGGCAGGAGAGGCAGAGGGAGAAGCAGACTCCCCGCTGAGCAAGGAGCCCAATGTGGGACTCGATCCCAGGACCCTGAGGTCATGACCTGAGCCAAAGGCAGATGCTCAACCAACTGAGCCACCCAGGTGCCCCTCACTGGGATTTTAATATGCATTTCTGATCCCTAGTTAAGATGAATGTCTAATGTACTTATTGGCCATTCATATGTCTGATTTTGTGAAATGTCTGTTCTAGTCTTTTACCCATTTTAAAAACTAGATTATCTTTTTGAGTTTTAGGAGTTCTGTGTATTTTGGGTATGAGCCCTTTATCAGTTTCTGCCAGTCTGGCTTTTCTTTTTGTTAAGTGTGTTTTTGAAGGGCATTAGCTTTTAATTTTGATGAAGTCTACCATTTTTTCTTTTTATCTTAATAGTTTTAACACTTACGTTGAAGTCTTTGATTCAGTTTGAGTAAGTTTTTGCATATGGCATACAGTAAAGTTTGAGGGCTTTTGTTTTCTAATTATGTAAATTATAGCATTGATATGAGTGACAGCATATTACTAGAGTTAATTCTTGCAGTGATTTATAAGAAAATCAGGAGGGGCACCTGGCTGGCTCAGTCTTAGAGCATGGGACTTTCTTTTTTTTTTTTTTTCAAATTTTTTTATTGTTATGTTAATCACCATATATTACATCATTAGTTTTTGATGCAGTGTTCCATGATTGATTGTTTGTTCATAACACCCAGTGCTCCATGCAGAACGTGCCCTCTTTAATACCCATCACCAGGCTGACCCATCCCCCCACCCCCCTACCCTCTAGAACCCTCAGTTTGTTTTTCAGAGTCCATCATCTCTCATGGTTCGTCTCCCCCTCTGACATACTCCCCTTTTCTTCCTCTCCTGTTATCTTCTTCTTTTCCTTTTTTCTTAAAATATGTTGCGTTATTTGTTTCAGAAGTACAGATCTGTGATTCAACAGTCTTGCACAATTCACAGCGTAGAGCATGGGACTTTCATCTCAGGTTTGTAAGTTTGAGCCCCAGGTTGGGTGCAGAGATTACTTAAAAATAACATCTTTAAAAAAGAAAGAAAGAAAATGAGGATAAAATTTTAAGAGGGACAAGACAGATCAGGATCACATTGAAGATTTCCAGTTAGTGGGCAGGAAGCAATTATAAAAGAAAGAATTCAGAGGGGGTACAAGAAAAGAGCTCTTCACAAAAGAAGAACTTTGGTGCCACTTATTTCAGGCATAATGAAAGGAAAACGAATGAAAACTGAAATGGATGGCAATGGCAGTTTCTGTATCTAGAAATAATAGTATCAATAATCAAAACACTGCAGTAAATCAGATTTCAAAGCAAAAATGGCTGTTTTCTTGCCTATTTTCCTTTTTTCATTAAATCTGTGTACTTTGCTGTTTAGCCATGTGAAACTCAATTGCAACCAGATAAAAGTGAAATAGGATTATAGTTATGCTTGCTCCATCCTTCCTCACCCACACTTCCTACTCCACAGAGGCAACTACTTGCAACTCATTTAACTGAGTCTACTGATATTTATTCCCACATTTTATACAGCTATTTTACCTACTTTTGATTTAACCATTTTAAAACAGTATCACCTTGGGAGCACCTACCTGGCTTAGTTGGTAGAACATGCAGCTCTTGATCTCGGGGTTGTAAGTTTGAGCCCCACATTGGGTGTAGAGATTACTTAAAAATAAAATCTTTTACAGGCACCTGCATGGTGCAGTTGGTTAAGCGTCCAACTCTTGGGTTTCAGCTCAGGTGGGGATGTCAGGGTTCTGAGATCAAGCCCCCTGTTGAGCTCTGCACTCAGCGTAGAGTCTGCTTAAGATTCTCTTCTCCCCCTGTTCTAACAAAATCTTTTAAAATACATCATTTATATATGTAGTCAGATTGTTAAAATGCAGGGATCCAGAAAATTTCCTGCATTCATTTTGCTTTGTGAACCTCCTAGATGCCTCCACTAACCCAGGAATTTTCCAATCATTATTTCTTTCTCCCTTCGTTCTTTCCATTCTTCCCTTTTTTATTCTGGGAGATTTCCTGGAATTTTTCCCCCCAAACTATTGAATTTTTGAGGTCAACATTATATTGTTTATTTGCAAAAAGCACTTCTTTATAGAACCCTGTTAATATTTCAGTGCTATACAACCTCTTAGCTTTCTGTAATACTAATTATAGTATTGTATATGTGTTCTTTTGTTCCTTTCTTTGTTTTTTCCTATTTGTTTTGATCTGTCTTTCACCTCAGGGCTTTCATCAAATTTTTTGATCTTTAATGTTACATTAATATTTAACATTGAACTACCTGAATCATTACTGTAATCTATGTGCATGGTTGGGGCTTGTAGAATAATGGGCTTCACTGTGCACCATTCAGTCAGATATCTAGGTGTTTCTTTTATATGACTCTATATGTTAATATCTATAAATGTTCTCATGGTCTTCTCATTTTTTCAGAAAAGAACCCTTCCATTGTCTGACACCAGCAACCACCAGCATTTCTAACAAGCAGCAGTAGAAAGGGGTTGGGACCCTAGTCTGCATATGAACTTTTACTTATTACCTTCTTTTTAATATGTTACTCTAATCTTCTTTGCCTATCATCACTAAATTTGGAGCCTCCCAGTTATACCATCAGCTGCTGCTTTTGTAATCATTTTTATAAATCTCACCTTCCACTCTCACCCAGTCTCTCCAGTTATAGAGCCTTTGTGTTGACAGCTGTGTCACAAATTACCTTGCTTCTAGGTGGCATCCTCTTCTGCTGGCTTTTTATTTAAGTCATTCGATTCTGCTGTTAATTTATAGTTCTTTATTTGCTTTCCTTTCAGAATTTCCTGAAACTTTTCATCCACTGGTGTCTCCTCTACCTCTTAATGTTTATAAGTATATGTCCTTCATCCTCTTACTGTCATTTTAATGGAGTTTCAGAAAGAGATAGAATCTTACTTAACCACACTTCCTTTTTAATAATTCTTCTATTCATTTTTTTTCCCCCTTCATCCTAGGCTCTCCCAGTTTTGTTTTTGTCCTTTCATCCTGTTTGTCACCTGTTCTTTATGTTTTATTTTATTTATTTATAGTGTACAAAGTTACATTTAAAAGCAGTTGAAGGGGGTACCTCAGTGGCTCAGTCAGTTAAGTGTCCAACTCTTGATCTCAGCTCAGGTCTTGATCCCAGGGTTGTGAGTTCAAGCCCCACATTGGGCCCCATGCTATTTAAAAAAAAAAAAACACACAAAAAAACATAAAGTAATAATAAAAGCAGTTTAAGCTACATGTGTACCTGTGAATGTTATTTGTATTTAAGCTTTCTTTTATACTGGTAGACTAGGTTTGAAATAAAGAGTCTATTTTACAATACCATATTTCTGATATTTTATTAATAATACTGGGAAAAATCACAAGTACAGTGATGTTGATGATGATGACAGCTACTTTATTGGATTTTTACTACTATGGCATGTTATTAGCTCTTTTCAATGATTTTTTTTTTAATTCCCTTTTAGAAAAGGTCTGGGAAATTTATAAATAGATAAAGACACAACATGGAAGACATGTGAGTTAAGTCTCCTTCTCCATGAAAATACAGCTCAGAAAAAACTCAGAAAACCTGGTAACAGAAAAGTATTTCCTCTGAACACAGACACTGATTAAGACTATATTTCTATGTATGGGACTCAGTTTAAGGGAATTTAGGACATAATTTATACTTAAATATAAGAGAAGCTGTCTAAGAAAGAACCATTACCATTAAGAATACAATGATGTCTTATATTTCATCCCAATCTGTAATTGTCTAATCTCAGTATAAGCAATGTAAAGTCTTTCATCATAAATTCAACTTCATTAGATACCTGAGGATTAATGCTGAAGAGAAACCATACGAATTTCATGAATGTGGAAAAGCTTTTATCTATGTCACATGTCAAGAGATACTGAGGAATTCTTGTTGGAAAAAATATCTGTGCATGATAAGAATGTTGGAAAGCCTTCAGCCTGAAGCAGATCTCCTTCAGCATGACCAGATTCATAGTAGAGAGAAACCTCATGAATGCAGTGAATGTGGAAAAACCTTTAGCCTGAAGCAAAACCTCATAGAGCATAAGAAAATGCATACTGGAGAAAAATCACATGAATGTACTGAATGTGGTAAAGTATTCTCTCGAGTCTCATCCCTTACTCTACATTTGAGAAGTCATACAGGAAAGAAACCATATAAATGTAATAAATGTGGAAAAGCCTTCAGCCAGAAAAGCAACTTCCTTTCTCATCAGAAACATCATACCGGAGAGAAACTTTATGAATGTGGGAAAGCTTCTATTCAGATGCCAGCCCTCATTAAACACCAGAGAAATAATACTGGAAACAAACCCTATGCATGTAAGGAATGTGGAAAGGCCTTCAATGGCAAATCATATCTCACTGAGCATGAGAAAATTCATACGGGAGAGAAACCATTTGAATGTAATCAATGTGGAAGAGCCTTCAGCCAGAAGCAATACCTCATTAAACATCAGAATATCCACAGTGGAAAGAAACCCTTTAAATGTAATGAATGTGGAAAAGCCTTTAGCCAGAAGGAAAACCTCATTATCCATCAAAGAATACATACTGGAGAGAAACCTTATGAATGCAAAGGGTGTGGGAAAGCTTTCATTCAGAAGTCAAGCCTCATTAGACACCAGAGAAGTCATACAGGAGAGAAACCCTATATATGTAAAGAATGTGGGAAAGCCTTCAGTGGCAAATCAAATCTCACTGAGCATGAGAAAATTCATATTGGAGAGAAACCCTATAAATGTAATGAATGTGGAACAATCTTTAGGCAGAAGCAATACCTCATTAAACATCACAATATTCATACAGGAGAGAAACCCTATGAATGTAATAAATGTGGAAAAGCCTTCTCTCGAATCACATCACTCATTGTACATGTGAGAATTCATACGGGTGATAAACCTTATGAATGCAAAATATGTGGGAAAGCCTTCTGTCAAAGCTCATCTCTTACTGTTCATATGAGAAGCCATACAGGTGAGAAGCCCTATGGTTGTAATGAATGTGGGAAAGCCTTCTCTCAGTTCTCAACTCTTGCTCTACACATGAGAATCCATACTGGAGAAAAACCTTATCAGTGTAGTGAATGTGGGAAAGCTTTTAGCCAGAAGTCACATCATATTAGACACCAGAGAATTCATACTCACTAAAGCTCTATGAATGCCTTGAATTTAGGAAAACTTTCATCAGAACTCACACTTTAATGGTATACTGAAAATTCATTTTATAATAAAGTGACATGAATGTGGAAAATACTTCAACAACTCAAAACTTAAATACTAACAATTTTAATAAGTATCATAGATAGTATCATGAAAACCTGTACTCCCAGAACTCCCACAACAAACATTGTTAATGATATACTTTTAGGAGCATTCTCATCGACGTAAGGATCCAGTCATGAACACTAATCAGCATGGTTCTGGAAGGCCTACCTGATGCATTAAGAGGTATAAAGATTTGACATTAAGAGACAAAATTGTCATTTAAAAAATGTTTCGCTATATATGTAATCAAAATTATTTGTTCTTGATTCATTTGTAGAAATCAGAGATTGGAACAGAATATTGTATTCAGAAACATGCATGCCTTTATGGGGAATTGTTAATTGATAGAGGTGGTATCACAGGTTGGTAGAGAAATGAAATCATGGATGATTCAAAAATGGTCTCAGGGTAACTGACTCTTCATGTGGAAAAATATTAGATCTCTGCTGTAGTAATACATTAAAGTATTTATTATGAAATCCAAATGTATTGAAGACTAGAATGCAAAAAGCAAAATTTAGTAATATAAGAATTTTATAGGAGAGTGTTTTTAAAACCTTGGGGTAGGAGGGAATTTCTAAAATAGATTCCAGGATACTCACTCTTGAGTATACATGCATATCCCCAAGAAACTGATACATGTACCTAGGCAGTCATGTATCTTTATGTTCATTGAAGCATGAATTACATTAGCAATGGCTGTTGCTTGTGAAATGGATAATAAAATGTGATATAGGCACACAGTAGAATGTTCTCTAGTAGTGAAGTATAACAGGTGATATATATATAAATATAGTAACAGAGAAAGACCTGAAAAGTCATGTAGAGTAAAAACAATGAAGGGATAAATATAATCATAACTGTGAATATTAAGTCAACACTAACAAACACTAGTATTAAGCACTGATTATGGATAAACATTTTTATGTAAAACTGAAGAATGGATTGGAAAGATACACAATTTCCAAAGGTGGTTGCCTCTAGAAAGAACGGTAGTGGAAAAGAAATGGGACCAAGCATGGTAGTTAAAGGATACTTCAGTTTTGTATCTAAACACCTATCATAAAAAGAAATAAAGATTCCAAGTAAATATGACAAAATGTTCGTTACCTCTGGGTTGTGGTAGTATATGTGTTCTATTGTTTGTGCTATTTCTGAAAATTAAAAAAGATAAAGAGTAGGAAAGCTGTACATGGAGTACATGTAATAACAGACTCACAATCCCAGAAACTAATATTTTATAGGAAATATTTCTAAAATCATATCTTTACTATAAGTCATTTTTTAAAATTGGGATGTAGCTTAATTTAAATTTACTCTTGCATGTGACATCACTAATCTGTTTGATCTCTACTTAGAAGTTATAGCATTTGATTGTGCAACAGGTTGGTATTGTATACATTTAAGGATCATACCATACCATTTAATAATACATGCACAGACTTGATATTAAGAATTGGTTTCTACTGAAACATTTATCAGAAACTTTAAAAGTCCATATAACCAGTATTGGCATTAAGGACTTGGTATTTTAAAATGAGGAAACCAGGTTACCCTTAATTTTTAAATATGCCACTGAGTAAAATGTCAACTCTTGCATTTCACCTTCAGTTTTAACCTCAAGACATTTTTTTTCTCTATTCTGCCAAATATACTCAACCAACCCCCCCTGTTTGTTTCTTTGGGGAAAATGGTGCTAAAAAGGAGATCAGAGACCTAAACAATATTCTTTTATTTGAAGCAAATCTTTTTGAGGATTTTTGTTTACTTGGTCCCTTTCCACAACAACTTGACATATAAAAAGTTGTTAGTGCTCTTTTTGAATAGTGATAAAAATGCGTATCCAACATTTAAACCTTAGGCATATTTCAAATATATCAATTTCTTTTAAATTCAAAATAATGAAACGCTAATAGAACCATACTACTATACTGCTTGTTAATGGTTTTGAAGGTTAGTCTTGAGATAAGATTATAAATGTCAGGGATTGATTTCCTGGGGTAATATACCCAAATAACATTATATCTACATGAGTCTAAATTATCCTCTATTTTCTTCCATTCCTCATTAAGCACTCCCTCGTATTTCTTAAGTGTTTTGCTTGCCTTTGAGCTTGTGCAGCTTTGAAGTCACCAGAACAACTAAGAACTCTCAATTCAGACCAAACTAGGAGGATTACCCTTTGGTGCCTGTAGTTGGCTAGGGCCAAGGTGCAACAACAATAAATAGGATATCACAAAGAGTAAGGTGAGTAATATCTGAGTACTATCACAGATATTTTGACATTTGACTATAAATAGTATCAAATTTACTCTGACATCCCCCCATTAATTCGACTTTTTGCTAGTTATTTGCCACCACAAACAATACTACAGTAAACACTCTTAAAATCAGACCTTAAATTTCAGATGTTTTTATTTCTAGGGGATAGGTTACAGGCAAGAGAGTGTTAGATCAAAGGACATATGCCATTATTTTATTGTAATAGATGCTGTCAGTCATTTTCAAAAACACAACTTTCCTCTAACCCTGCAACAGATGGTAACATACTACTTAAATTCACATTTGTCTGATGAGTGTAACCACTTGCTCCTAGCTTCTTTGTAAATTTTCATATTGTTAGCTCATTTTGAAGTCCTCTTTATGTATTAGACATTAGGAATTTGTCTAATTTTTGTCATAAAAAATGATTTTTCCATAAAAATACCCTAAATTTCTCTGTAACTAGATATGTATTAATTTCTTCTAAGCTGATGGATTGGTTAAGAAGATATTTTAATCTCTAGATTGTAGATTTCTTAGGTTTTCTTGCAAGTTGTTTAATGTTTGCATTTTTCAATATGTAAATATTAGTCCATTTAGAATTTAATTTTTAATGTCATATGAAATGAGGATTCCTTGTTATTTTCTTCCAGGTGGGTTTCCAGTTATACAAGCACAATTTGTTAAAATAACCCATCTATTCAGCAGCCAGTCACACAGTTCTGACACCAACTTGTGGTGTCCACCAGCAGCAATCAAAGATTTGAACCAGCAAAAACAAAACAGAACAGGCTTTAACAAAGTTTATTATTAGCCTTCCCTGACACACACACACACAAACCAAACTACAAAAAACAAAATCACCTTCACAATACTACAACTGCCCAAGCAAGCACAGCTTCCAGGGCCTCTGCCCTGCTCAGGGGAGAGGAGGTCAGCACGGGTGTGGTTCACCTAAGCACTGGGAAACAACATTCTCATCCAGGACGTCTTATGATAACCCAGTACTGCAACTGCATGGTGTGCCCCCATGCAGCACACCCAGTTGTAAAACTGATACCCACTTAAGCACAGGGAAGCTGCTGCCTTGGTTTCCCAAGACTTACGATGCCTTAGTCACATAGGCTGTCGGTGTCTACATGCCAAGTCACAGCACCCCCTATCCCCATCCAGGTACATGAGGAATCTACAGTAGTATTTTCATCAAGGAAACTGGTAGAAAATAAAATCTAAGGTCATCTTTCCCGACATGGGTCGGGGGAGAGTCCTATTCTTAATTCTTTACCAATACCATCCTTTCCTGTTCAACTGAAACTCAGCTATGTAATCCTTTAACCACGTGATTTTTTCCTCATTCAAGTGGAACTGCCTTGTACTTTCATTTATACCAAGACCTATTTTCTGTATTCTTTTCTTTCACTAATCTATTTTTCTACTTCTATACTAATACCATATTAATTGATAAATTGATTTAACATTAGCCTTATTGTATTTTGATACTGCATAATAGACCAACTCCTCCTTGCTGTTTTTCATAGTTTTATTGGCTATTCTAAGTTAATTTTCTTCCTATATAAATGAAGACTGTGTTCTCAAAATACAAAACCCTTTGATATTCTAGTTGGAACTGCATTAAATTTATATATTTATTTTGGGAGAAATGACATTTTTTTTACTTTAAGTCTTTCTGACCTAAATCATAGTGTGCCTTTGCATTTGTTCAGACTGTAATCATGTCTTTGAGCATGAGGGTCCTAAACAAAGTAATTTGAATGCCATCCCTGCTTAATATATTTTGAAAAGTTTGTCAGTTCGGTGAATGAGGAGAATCCCTATTATGAACTAAACGTTTGTAGTCTACTCAGAATTCATACTTTGAAGCCCTGATCCCCAGTGTGATGGTATTTGGAGATGGGGCTATAAGGAAGTTATTAGGTTTAGATTAGGTCATGAGGGTGGGACACTCATGATGGGAACAGTACCCATATGTACAGGTGGAAGAGAGAGACTGTAAGAAGAGATTTCTTTCCCAAGTGTATACACTGCGGAAAGGTCATGTGAGTGTAGCACAGGTAAGAAAGCAGCTGTCTACACCAGGAATTGGATCTTCACCAGGATTTGCCAGCACTTTGATGTTGGGATTTCCCAGCCTCTAGAACTGTAAGAAATAAATGTCTGCTATTTAAACCACCCAGTCTGTGGTATTTTGTTATAATGCCTGAGCTAAGACAATCCCTTTTCTGCTTAATTCTCCTGTGCTCCTCATATGTAAGACAAAAGCACTTTTAATTAGGAGAGTAAAATCCCAACTACATTATTAATAAGGTCTGTAATTTTTAGCAATTTATAAAACTTCCCCCACCTTATTCATTTAAAAATAAAAATTGTTGGAACAGGAAAAGTGAAAAATATAGTTCCTGGGGTGTCATCTTGAAAATGTTGAACTAGGAATCCCCAAGCTATCATTCCCCTACAAAAACTGGAAAAAAAAAAACCCAAAACTTCCTGAACCAACTTTGTAGTACCTCTAGAAAACAGTTGTTTATAGAAACAAGCAAATGCCCAAACAAGTCAAACACCATCTTCAAATGTTAGTAATCTTCTGTGTCATTTTTATTCTTGCCCCAAATCTCCCTGGTGTGGTACTGATATGGTCTTGAGCAGGTGGCAACCCAGTTTCCCCCCTCAAACTGGAGGAAGCAGAATGGACCATGTTTGCAAATTATTGTATACATCCGTTCTAACCAGTCTTGAAGATACATGAAGGAATGATGCAAGCATCATCTGTTTCACATTACTCAATGCAGATGGGAAAAAAAGCAGGCACTGCTCATAAAACCTACAAGGTGTACTACAAATCCAAAGTCTGAGTGTTAAGATTGGGGAAGTGGAAATGTATAGTCAGGGAGCAAGGTGAGGATCAGTGGATGGAAAAATTCCAAGAGGAAACACCAGGGGTAAGGGTGTTACCCCTGGCTAAACCAACCAAAGAGGATTCCTGCTGAAGGCAGGCCAGCATGATCTCACACAGCACCTGGGAGAAGGTGGAGGATGAGGAACCTGATCAGATATCAAGGGTGATCACGTATTAAGGGTAGAGGGTTCTAGTTAAACTGGACTGAGGATTCTTACTAAATCTTGATTTTATAAATAAGTGCACAGATAGGTCTAGAAGGTTCAGGAGTCTAAAGTTTGGTCAAAGAATCTGTCACTGAATTGGCACTTGGGCAAAACAAGACCTTGGGGTTATTTTTACTAATGTGCTATTGACCCATTTCAGAGACTTCTGGAGACAAACTATACATGCCCATTAGCAGTTAAAAAGGATGTCCTGGGGGTGCCTGGGTGGCTCAGTCGGCTAAGTGTCTGCCTTTAGCTCAGGTCATGATCCTGGGGAGTCTACTTCTCCCTCTCCCCACCCCCCACTCATGCTCTATCTCCCTCTCTCTCTCAAATAAATAATCTTTAAAAACAAGACAAGACAAAACAAAACAAAAAACAAAAGGATGTCCTAGGTAGCAAGAGTATGGATGCACTGATCTCAAGAAGAAGCAGGCAAAACTATACTAATAAACTATTAAACTATTGATTTCAGAGGGTTATAAATAGCCAGATCCACTGAATTAACAGAAGAAAAAGCTTGGGACTGTTAGTGGAGAATGCATCTTCCCCACTCATCTATCCTTCAAGAGGAGAGATTTTTTTCCCTAAATACTCCTGGCTTGTCCTACTTTTTATTTCTCTTCTGGAGAGGTAAAGCAAAATAGTTGATTAGAGAATTTGTTGCCTCTCTGGTCCAAATTAACCTTTTGTTGCCTGATGGGTGAAAATAGATCTTTACTTTTTAAGTTTTTTGTTTGTTTGTTTACCAGCTGGCATAATGGTAAGCTTTGTCATTAGAGGGTACTGGAGAGACATTGCAGAGGGAGGGAATTCTCCTTAGTTCTGGTGTGGCTTCCTCTCCAGGTTTCTGAAAGTAGGCTCTCTTCTCTAAAGCTTTGCCCCACAGTTTACTCCATTACAAACTGCCTCTGAAGCACAGCTTTCTCTAGCATTTGGCCACCATGTTTTCTCCATTCTTGACCAAGTCAGAGGCATCAAGCAGATTTTCAAACATGTGTCTATACCCCAGCTAGGTCTATACTCCCTATACCCTCTTCATAGGCCTACACATGCACACTGGGGGCCTCATGCAAGCCAGTACCCGACCTCTTCCACATAGCTAACCTGGAGCTGTTCTGGCTCAAGTCCTTCATGGATGTGTGCTAGGTTCCTGCAGAGAAAGGTCTCTATAGCTCCAGGTTCCAGTAGTGTCCACAGTGGTGCCCCAAACTCCCTCTATATGCCTATCTCTCAGGCTCTGCTCACCAAACTGCCTAATGAATATGAATCATATCTGCCCTGAGGAAAGCAGCAAACTTCTCTACCAGCTAGTAGTCTTTGATGAAATGTGAACCCTTTCCCTTCCAAGACTGTCCTTCCTTGGGTACTCTGCCTCAGCCCTGGAGTCCCTTTAGAGTCCCTTTCCATCTTAATACTTATATTATTATTGCCACTTAATAATTCTTTATATTAAGCTCCCCTGTTTTAATTAATGTGTGGTTTCCTGTCTTCACATTGGATCCAGATTAATACAGAGTTTGGAAGAAGACACAGGCATGAAGTGTCCTGGCCCTGCTTCTTTCCTCTTCACTTTCGAATCTGCCTATCTGCATAGAGCATGCATTCCCCAATGCTCTAGGTCAAGACGTGAACTTGGAGATTGAGAGCCTGTTCTTGCCACTGTCATGATTCACTGGGTCAGGCTGTTTATTTCTGGAGTCCAAACAGAAAGCTCATTGGACTCCTACCGTGACCATACTCCAATTTGCCTTTATCTATAATAAAAGTAATATCTGGCCTCCCTACATCTTAACTATTTGTCCTAAATCTCATTTAGATAACAACTGATGGGTAAAGGGTGGGGTGACGCACATTTGGTCTCTTCAGAAACCCTAGCACATAATGGCTGCGTGGCACACAACACGATATATAAATATTTCCGACTACCCTATACTTTTATGCTCTTAACTTTTAGTAATTTCCATAAATAACGTTTGAAAGGAGAAAAATCCAGACTTGCTAACATGATCTATGAGAATCACCTTCCAGGGGCACCTTGATGGCTCAGTCCGTTAAGTGGAGTCCAACTCTTGTTTCAGCTCGGGTCATGACCTCAGGGGTTGTGCACTCAGCAGGGAGTCTGCTTAAGGATTCTCTCCATCTGCCCATCTCCCCACTTGTGTGCACACACACACATGCTCTCTCTCTCAAATAAATAAATCTTAAAAAAAAAAAATCACTTTCCAGACCAGGGGCAATGACTACTTGCACCCAAGATGTTTCAAACCATGGGGGAGTGGTTTTTATTGGCTATCAGTAGGATGAGAAGAGTTGGAATTGTTATAAGACTGAGAATGGTAAGTGAACACTCCTGTTAAACCAAAATTCCAGTTGTCACATTCTGCTCATTCACTCAGCTCCCTTGGAAGGTGGATTCAGATTAAGAAACCAATGATGGTTCTGGTTCAAGATGGTAAACAGGAGGCTCCTGGACATACCACCTCCTACAGAAACACCAAATCTACAACTATATATGGAATAATTCCCTCAAAAAAATCCAGAAATGAGGTTAGTGACCTCGTTTATAGGTATACATCAAGCAATAAGAGAAAACCCATTTCTCTACTCCTAGGGTGGGAGTGGGTGACATACAATCTTCACAAATACCCCACCCCAGCACAGTGGCAAACCATCAGGAGAGAACTCAAATCACAGCTTCTCCCTAATGAGTGGAGGGTTTGAACCACATGTATGGAACACCACTATTAAAACTTATACCTGGGGTGCCTGGGTGGCTCAGTTGTTAAGTGTCTGCCATCGACTCAGATCATGATCCCAGGTTCCTGGGATCGAGCCCCACATCGGGCTCCCTGCTCCACAGGAGGCCTGCTTCTCCCTCTCCCACTCCCCCTGCTTGTGTTCCCTCTCTTGCTGTGTCTCTCTCTGTCAAATAAATAAATAAAATCTTAAAAAAAAAAAAAAGATATACCTGAGGGGCACCTGGGTGGCTCAGTCAGTTAAGTGGTTGGTTCTTGATTTAGGTTCAAGGCATGGTCTCAGGGTCCTGGGATCGAGTCCCAAGTTGGGCTCTGCGCTCAGCAGGAAGTCTGCTTGAGGAATCTCTCTCCCTCTTCCTCTGCCCCTCCCCCTGCTCACTCTGGCTCCCAAATAAATCTTTTTTAAAAAAAGACTTACACCTGAGAGTCCCTCAAAATATCCAGCTCTGAAAGCAAATGGGGATTGTATCCATGAGATCCAAAGACTACAGCAAGCTAAGAAACCGTACCTAACAGGTTCGGCCATCCATCCCCTAAAGGCTCAGCACAGAGGCAGAAGACTGAAACTCCCAGTCTTACTATGGAAGAAGCCTATCTGGTCATCTTAAAAGCTGTGAGCTGAGGGGCAGTCTTCTAATATAACAAACATCTAGAGGCCAAATACAATTCTCTGCAGAGACTGAGGATACCAGCAGACACAATCTTCATGCTGTTCCTCTGCCCTAACACAGATTAATGGGGACTCCAGGAAAGGATCTTGTGCACACATCTGGCACCCTAACTATGGTGGATGCTGTCCAGAGGACACAACCCTTGATTGTCTGCTTCTGGTGACCAGTGGGGCTGTGTTCACTGGTTCAACAAGACAGTAGCAAATTAAGGAACTTAACTGGCTATCCTGCCAGGGCTCAGTGCAGAGGAAGGACAGAAACATTCATCTCCCAGTCTTCCCCTGAAAGAGGTATATCTGTATACTTTAAAAGCTGCTGCTGAGGGTGCGGTTCCAATGAGACTGTATCTAGGTGCTGACTGAGATTCTTCCTTTTGGGACACTGATAGGTCTTGGCACACTCTCGAGAACTGGGAGTCATTAAGAACAAGCCTAGACAAGCACAAAGGTTTAAGAAACAACCAAGAGCTAAGACATGGTTCATCTCCTGAACAAAGCCACTCCTCAAGACTGAGAAAGGTAGCTATTTTATCAAATCTACAGAAACCAACAAAGAGTGAAGGAAAATGAAGAAACAAAAAAATATGCTCCAAACAAAAGAGCAAGATAAAAATCCTAGAAATAGACCTTAATGAAAAAGA